ACACACACACACACACACACACACACACACACACACACACACACACACATTTTGTCTTTTACACTGGCTGCTTTTCACTCATCCCAAGCAAGCCCCTTTCTTCTGATCAGGTTGTCATACATGTTAGCCATGTTATGTAACACTGTAGGTCATGGCACTTAGTGAACTCCGTATGAACTCTTAGGTACCCCGCCTCTGCTGCCACCTCCTCATCATTGCTGTCACAACTATGGCTGTCCAGAGTCCCCTTTGTCTCGTGTGTCAGTACACACTGCAGGGGCCAGGGCCAGACTCCTCGTCTGCTGTGACATATCCGACTTCATTTGACCACACAGACCAAAGTTAACATCTGCTGTGACATATTCAACCTCACTTTGACCACACAGACCAAAGTCAACATCTCTTTTTTAAGGGTCATGTAAATATCCGTCATCAGACCCCCCACAAGGCCCTTTGAGGATCTCCTTGCGGAAGCTGTTGTCTTCCCTTATCATCATAAACCCTCTGACAAGCACTATACTCCAAGACTTTACACAGAAACTCAAAGTGACACATTTGGGTTTGAAAGCCTCGCTGCTTTATTGTTAATCAAAGAAGGCCCCAGAATAATGAAGCCTGTAATTGTATATGCACATGAAAAATGCTTCGACTCTGAGTGGGACTCTTAATGACTTACACATTTTTTTTCTTCCAATAGAAAGTCCTCAGGGCCCATTCAATCAGTTATGGAATAATACTTTTTGTATTCCTGTAGCTGAAGATTCTTTTACTTCATTTCCATTTATATTTTCAGTTCCCCCTTAGACATTGTTATCTGGGTCACATGAGGGAACAGAGGGCTCCATGAAATGAGAGAAGATGTATTGAAAGGCACCCAAGGTGACAGTGTGCTTGGACTATTCTCTTTTCTCACTGGAAGTCTATCAGGGATCTGTCCCTCCCTGAAGTCAAGCTTACGTTAATCAGCAGAAACCATCTAGGCGCTTCTTCTGTCCTTTGTTCTAAGTGGAGAACAATTAAATATGCAGAGATTAAAGAGACACCAGCTTGGTGTGAATTCAGTTCCCACATAGATGGAGTGAAGATTTCACTCTGAATGGAAGATGGGAGCAGAGGTTTAGGGACCAAAGCATAAATTGGATTCAGAGAAAGAAATGTACAGATGAGCATGCTTTGACAACCACATTCTTTTTTCCTTTTGAGACACACCAAGTTAATTTCTTATTTCTGACTCAGGACAACAATATATTCCTCTAACTTCCAGTTACCATGAGGCATTTTCCAGCCTGCACCTCTCAGTCTGTGCCTTCATCATGATCCCATGGGGGTGGGGGTGTTCACTGCTTTTTCTAAGAGAAATGAATGAGGCCTATAGCTGGGTAACATGACCTTAACCCCCTGTTTCCATCAACATGTTGTTCCCAGTTATAGCAACCAGTGTTAGCATAGTCCCATGCTAATACCAATCTAGATTACAACGGTGGCTATACAAGGAAAACCTCTTGGTAATTCAGTTCAGACTGACCCAGAGTATGCATGCCTGCAAAGGAGACCTGAATCCATTAGAGGGAACCTTAATTCACTGCTTGTTTCTCCAGAAGCTGCTCTGTAGTTATGTTCCATTTCCTCAGTGTTAAAGGCTGTTGAGATGAAGCATCAAAGAATGGTGACACAGATGTGGCTGATGACAATTAACATTTTTTTTTTTCTAGAAAGGGCCAGACAGTAAGAGTTTTAGGCTTTCAAGTCATATAGTCTTTCCTAACTCCTTAACCTTATTCCAGTGAAAGTATACATACACACACACACACACACACACAAACATACACTCTAACACATGGCCTGCCAGATCTAGCATGCAGGCTGTTGTTAGGTGGCTAGTCCTGTCAACACAGCACAGGTGAGAGCAGCTGAGACTGGAAGAGACTGAGAAAATGTTTAAGAGTCACACAGCCAGAGAGTAGTGTGACAAAATTACATCTTATAACTCTATTGATTTTATTCTTTGTAAGGACTCCTTCAGACAACAAGAAGGAAACCATACAGGCAGAGAATTTCTTGTTGATTGTCTAAAGTCGACGTGACCCTGGAGATCTTTAGCTTAATAACTGTGGAGGCTGTTGTGGATAATAATTACAGTTTCTAAGGTGTAGTGAGGGTGACAGGAGTTCAGACTTTGAGAGCAAGAGGGCTGAAAGATGCGTCCCAGGCTGTGCAGCCGTACTGGCATTTCTGTAGTGTTGAGTACGGATTCTCCACGTTATTTCTAAGCACACTTTCTCCTGAGAGACAGCCTGCAGTCGGGACTCCCAGGATGCCCAGGTTTGTTCTGAGGCACACCACATCGATGAGCTTTCGAAACCAACTCGGCGCCTCCCTTTCTTCCCCTGCAGAAAGCCACCATTAGCCATGTCTCACCTGATAGCCTTTACCTGTTCCGAGTACAGGCCGTGTGTCGGAATGACATGCGCAGCGACTTCAGCCAGACAATGCTCTTTCAAGGTAAGTCTGTTTGTCCTCTTCCTGCCATGCAGTGTGCCTCAAGCTGCCTATCCCTTCAGGGGCTTGGCTAGAAGTAAAGGAACTTGGTCCATGTAGGGTGTAAGCCATATTCAGTGAGCTCTGGTCACTTAGATCTGGCTTTGGGGTTGGAGGCTTCAGAGGCCAGAAGAGGAGAGGGAAAAATGGCTATTTTTTGCAGTGTTTCATTGATATTTTCCAGCAGTGCCTCCTATTTAAGAACCTGTCGGATGGAGTGATCTCCCCTGAGTCCTGCATAGCCTCTTTCTTAGATGTCTAGCATGACTGATCTTCACTGCCTTTTAAGAACTAGAGACATAAAATTTGTCCTCCCAATTTGCAAGCCACACAGACAAGTCTTCATGCTTTATGTCTGGACATCTGTGTTCTGTGCTGACTGGGCACCTACCTGTAAGGGGATCTGGGGCCAAATTGAGGGTGACACAAATGGAACTTTGCCTTGTTGTGTTTTAATGGATTTATTATTTTTTTAAAGCGAAGGCAGGATAAAGATTTCATGAATGAAATATTGGAATATTACTCACTTCTCTTATGGGTCTGAGTGTTCTGTTGTCGTAGTGTATATGCACCACATACATGCAGTACCCATGGAGGCCAGAGGGGGGCAGACGATACCCTGGAACTGCAGTCACAGGAGTAAACTGCCGTGTAGGAACCAAACCCAGCCCCTCTGCAAGAACAGCAATGCCTTTAACAGCTGAGCCATCTCTGGAGCTCCGTAGTCGAGCATGTTCTTAGTATACACACACGGCTTGCGTTCACTCTAGAAGTAATGATGGGAAGCAATCTGTCTCACCTGCTCCAACCTAATTCTGGTTCTAGTGTTCCTTACAGAAATCAGCAGTCAACTGTAGCCTTTACTTTGTGAATCCAGTTTCATAACAGACACTAAATCCATCGTGAAACTAAAGGCCAGGGCCTTGGGCTCCACACAGAGACTCTGGCTTGTTTCTTTAGGGCCTCCGCTTTCCTGACTATAAAATGAAAAGCCTACTCACCAGGCCACTCACTATTACTCATTTTCATCTGCTATGCCTTTTTGTAACTGTGTCACTGGGCATATGTGACGACACTCAGCTGATTCTTAACTTTTGTGTTGCATATCTGATTAAACATCCAGGCTTCCACCCTGGAAACCGCCAGGATTGTGTATAAGATTACAGACCCTATTGAAGCACATGGACTACTTTAACCAGCAGCGTCTGAAGGCCTGTGAGCTGTGCCCATCCGTAAGGCCCTTTCAAACCAGCTGCCTCTGTATCTTGGCAGTGGGGCCTAGGAATATGAGTTCTAGCAAGATGGCCCTAGTGACTGGCAAGCACGTTAAATGATGAAGAATGCCAGTTTGGAGCGGGGCTCTGTAGAGAGGAAGCTGGGTGTGAGTCCCAGCTGCCAGTCATCAGCTAGACCATGCCGAGAACATGTGTTATCTTCTCAAGGCCGCTGTTTGCCGCTCCAAAAGCTGGTAGCATTTACAGACCCCTCCATGGGGGTCATTGTACAGTAAAATAAATGATATGTATTAAGTGATTAGCATGGCATAAATCACAGGACTGTGACCCAGCAGCATATCTTATGCACTGCTGTGAAGTATTTGCCTAGACTTTACCAGATGAACATTCCAAATCCAGAAGTTGTGACATCCAAGTACTATAGTGTCCAAAATCATCTGACTGTTCATGAGGTTTCAGCCTTCATTAAGTTTGATAGAAAAAAACAAACAAACAATAAATAATGAGCCCAGGGAGGAAATCCTCCAGCAAAACATTCTTCCAAGGAACTGCAATTTATACATGTGGCATTTAAAAATCCTTTCCTAATGATCTCATCCTTCTTTTTAAAAATCAAATGAAATATGCCTTATCTGCATGCTTTTCATAAGTAAATCTGTGTACACACATATCCAGAATGCGTCATTTCGTGTGTCGAGCAAGGGCCTCGAGCCATGGCAGGGTCTTTGTGAGGCAAGGGGAAAGAGAAGGTGGATCACTCTAGGAACTTGCTGTGGCCAGGCATGGGAACTTTAGGCCATAAATCATGATTAGGCCACCCCTTCCCGGACCAGGAGGCTGGGAGCTGCAGGGCTGCTTCCTTTGATTAATAGCCCTGGGTGGCCTGGCTTCTGCATGGACTCTGAAAAATTAAAGGTTTATAATACAATGCTATTCTGAAAAGGCCCCCATCAGCTAGAAATTCAAATCACCGAGCATTTTGAGTGTCCGTGCCTTGTTGAAAATGGCTGTGTCCCCAGATGTTCTCTGCGTTGTCTGACACGATGGACAGGAGTTGACTGCTTGTGTATGCTGAATTTGTCCCTGTGTGTCACACCTCCCCATAATGGCTGGGGGATTTTTCTCCACAACACCCATGTAAGCCCTGTGCCAAGCTGCACCTTTGTTAATGTTGGCCCGCTGGCCTTTTCTATCCAGGCTTTTCCTGCTGCTTAGGAACAAGAGAGAGCAAGGTGCCAAATTCACCGCCTATTCAGACTCAAGTTTTAAGAAAGAAAACATGGTCCTTGAGAATTCCAGGAAACAGTTTTCTTCATAGTAACTGTTTCCAAAAATAAGTATACATCAGATTTGGGAGCCTGGGAACCCACATTATATGTGGTGATTATAGTATTTATAATCTGTATAATATACCAAAGCATTGGGCTGCTGAGGAAGCTGTGCTGGCAAAGACACCTGCTGCCATGCCTGTAGAGCCTCAGGGTCCACATGGTAGAAGGAGAAATTTGACTCCGGAAAGCTGAGCTCTGACCTCAAAGCACATATCCATGGCATGCGCATGCTGCTGTGACATGCCCAGGTACCCACAGGCACATGCAATCAGCCCATAGACGAATAAAGTGGAATAAAAACCAGGATACCAATGAGTATGCTTAGCCAGTGTGATTCAGGAACTAGCGGTTCTAACAGCCAGAGACATTTCTAATGTGGCTCCCATTACAGAGTCTCCGCCTCTGCTGCTTCCTCCTAACATCACGAGTGAGAGCTTATCATGTAGGGGTTTCTTTGGAGATTTTGTTGGCTTGTTTATTTTGTTGCTCAGAGCATGGGTTTGGGTTTTGTTTTACAAATGAAAAAATTATCTTCAGAGTGCCTAGAACTTGAGATAAATCTCATAGCTCCTGAATGGAGTTCTGGGTTGCTATTGCAAGGCTTTATGGCTCAGAGAGCAAAGTGGGCCATCCTAGCATAGACACACACACACACACACACACACACACACACACAGCACAGGATCTTCAGCCTTGAGAGAAGGCCTGATAGCAACTGTGCATCATTAGGGTAGGGCTTGTGAACTCAGGTGTCCATGGGGCCAGTCTAGGGGCATTTTTTTGTGATGTGATACTGCGTCTATAGGAGGCAGCTCTTTGGTTTTTAGAATGGCCTCATTTTATCAACTCCAAAAGGGTTGACATGTTTCTTTTATAAGTTATAAAGTCTAGCATTATTCAGGATCCAGTGTCCCTCAGCAGGTGAATGGCTAATCAAATGTGATAGAGGCACAAAAGAGAATATTATCAAGCATTCAAAAAAATAAAGAAATTCTGGCCCATGCCTGTATTACAGGGGTGACCTTTAAAGGCATAATGCTAAATGAAATACACCAGCCACAAAAATACAAATATATATGATTACATAATGTATGCAGCATGTAGAGTAGTCACACACAGAAATATAAACCACCACCACACGGTGGTCCCCAGGGATCGTTGAAAAGGAAATGAGTTGGTGGGTATGCTCTCCGAGTTTCATTTTACAAGATGAGGAAGTCTCAGGATGGATGCTGGGAGGTTAGCTGCATGATAAAGCAAATGGACCGAACATTAATGGAGCAGACACTAAAAATGGCTACCATAGTAAATTTTATATTCTTTGCCTCTTCATACAACTTGGGAGATGCGGAAGCTACATTCCTTTAGCATACCACATGGGCGAGCACAACTATAAGAAATGATCACCAGATAAGGCAGTGTGCAGCGAAGATAAAATCATGTGACTGTGTAAAACATATCTTAGAGACTATCAGATCCAGCAGGAAGATAGTACATGACAGGACACAATGAGAGTTATTGCAAGAAACAGTAAAAGAATTAATGTAAGATCAACTATAGGGCTGGAAAGAAGGCTCAGTTTCTGAAGGCAGTTACAGCTAGAACCGAGGAGCTGAGCTCAGTTCTCAGGCCCCACGTGATGAAGCGAGAGCAAAGTTGTCCTCTGATCTCCACACTCACACACATACACACGCCATCCCCAGCCTTCTCCTGAATGCATACATAAATGTAATAAAAACTTAGAAAGAAGTAAATAGATGTGAATTGAAGATGCCTCTTAGAATCCACTGAAAAGATGAGAAATGGTGTCCAAAAGGGGTAATAGAGGAAAAACAAGTGGAATGGTGCAATCCCATTGAAATAAAAAACGCACGAGACTCAGAAGCCCAACAGCACTTGAAGTGCGTCTTAAGGGGAGTGGTAGTTACAGGTATGAGGTGTAAAAATAATTCAACTGTCCACTGGAATCGCGGACATCTTACTATTGTTGAAGTTCTGTCTCAGTAGAACAAAACTATAATAATTACAAATTTTAAACACATTGTTTGTAACAGAACAATTGGCTAGCTCCGGATCATCTGAACATGCCGGCAAGACTTGGAATATTGTTGAAATGGTTGGGAAGTGTGCAAAGGAATATTTTGTGACATGAGAATTATGTCTAGTTGAGATCCGTGTGTCCACAGTAGTATTTTATTGACAGCACATTTGGATATCGTGTGTTGTTTACATTATGACTGCTTTGTTTCTCAGCAAATACTACCCGAATATTCCAAGGGACCAGGATCGTGAAAACAGGAGTGGTAAGTGGGGAAAGGCGGGGGGCTCTGTCACAGGTGTTAATTTGGCTGCGGTTAAAGCTCTTACCACAAGGTGTCAGTGTAACGTTGTTGAACTGCCTACAGAGCAGTTCAGAGGCAAATAGAAATTTTGCTGTATACTTTAATGCTGTACCACAATCTTAGTGAGTCTTAATTTTGTCAAAATAAAAAATCCTTCAGATCTGTAATTATGTATGACCCCTGGAATCAAACACAGAACCAAATACAGAAGTGAATCCATCCAGAGCCATTCACTCATCTAATGCTGATCCAAAAGTTGTCACCCACAGCTACTAAGAAATTACCAGATCTGAGGATGTTCAGAACCTGAAACTCACTGAGCACATCTCAGAGGGTGATAGTACCCTCACTCCCATTTGACAGGCGAGGAAACTGAGGCTCGGTGAGTTAAAGTAATGGGCCCATCAGAGAGAGGCAAGGAGTCATCTCAAAGCTGGGTTGAAGGGCTTTTCTGTGTTTCCCGCTAATCTTATATAAGAGTTGGTTTTCAGTAATGAGCTTCAGCACTCATGGCTACCCTTAAACCGCAAGGCTTTCCCTTGGAAACCCGGTGATGTTCCAAAACGTGACTTCTTTTCATTATTGCTTGATCCTTGTGTAGTGAGGAGTTGCAATTTTGGTTCTGTATACCTGCTTATAAGGGCTGGGCTTACGCTGCCGTCTCTGCTGGGGCGCTTCCTGGTTTGGATAGAAGATGCCTTACATAGGTAGCACCATCATGTAGTATAAGGAAAGGAGGAGCTGAGATCTGCCCACAGGCAGCCCTGCACTTTGAATACGCTCCCTATCACCTCCGCCTCAGTTTCCTCCCACATAGAATGCGCAGTGTGGCGAGCCCTGGCACAGCGGTGGCAATTGCTAAGTGGAACGCCTGTTGCCACCCTGAATGCTGCAGTCTTCGGAGGCAGGAATTGTCCTGTGCAGAAGCGCAGACGCTCTGAAAGTCTCCTCGCCTGGGCATGTGTCCAGGGCGTGGCTGCTGCTTCTGATGCTGCCACTGCCGACCTGGCCCGACTGTCTTCCCTCTAGCTCTATTGGCTGCCTTGTATGATGGTGGAGTAGCTCCACCATCACGCTGCTTTTCCATGTCTCAGAGCTAGGTGGTCCCCAGCAGAAATTGACTTCTGCTTCCCACTCCCCATCCCCCAGTGGTGGGCTGCTCTGGCCATTTTATGACTTACCCATTGCGAGTCTTTCAAAAAGCACTTCTAATGCTTCTGTTTCCCCCATGTAGCCCAGCCCTGAGTCACATCAGTGAAAAGCTGAGTTTGATATACTAGTTAATGTTTTAATCCAATGCCCCTGAAAGAAGACATGGTTACCCTGAACCAGCCATGGTCAAGTCTCACACTATAGCTTATGAAAACCTGTAGGATAGAAGACTAAAATTCTGGGGTTAGGCAGAGCAGGGCCTCACTTTGATTATTGGTTACTGATACTGCTCCACTGTCTTCTTTACCTCCCTCTCTCCACACCCTGGGTGGCCTGTTCAGCCGACAGCCTCTCCTGCCTCTTCAGCAGACATGGCCCCCATCAGTTCCGGCTCTTCTACTTGGACATCCTCCGGCATCCCCTTCTCATTTGTTTCCATGGCAACTGGGATGGGTCCTTCCTCCAGCGGCAGCCAAGCGACAGTGGCCTCTGTGGTCACCAGCACTCTGTTGGCAGGCCTGGGCTTTGGTGGTGGCGGCATCTCCTCCTTCCCCAGTACCGTGTGGCCCACACGCCTCCCTACCGCAGCTGCAGCCAGCAAGCAGGCAGGGAGGCCGGTCCTTGCCACCACTGAGGCCTTGGCTTCCTCTGGGCCAGATGGCGACTCGGCACCTACCAAGGACAGCGAAGGTGCAGAGGAAGGGGAGAAGGAGGAAAAAAGCGAGAGTGAGGATGGTGAGCGGGAGCATGAGGAGGAGGAGAAGGACTCTGAGAAGAAAGAGAAGAGTGAGGCGACCCATACAGCCGCAGAGAGGAACCGGACTGCACCTGCCCCCACTCCCTCTTCCCCCCACAGGACTGTGGAGGAGGGAGGACATCGGACTATAGCTGGGCACGGGCAGGACCACTCTATCCCTGCAACAGACCAGCCGGGCCATGTTGCCCCGGGCTTGGATCCCAATGAGGACGCAGTCACCCAAGTGCCCCCCACCGCCACAGAGGAACATTATTCTGGGAGTGATCCCAGGAGGCCCGAAATGCCATCTAAAAAGCCTATGTCCCGAGGGGAACGATTTCCCGAGGATAGCAAATTCATCACTGTTAACCCAGGTAAGTGGTGATGGTCCACATTTGAGAGTCCGGGATGCTGTGAACAGGCTTGACCTATTTCTAAAAACTGGGTGGTGGAGGAGTAAGGACTGGGGAAGGAGGTAATATCCCTGCGATTCTATGTTCCTGCTGTGTCTGTACCTGCAACCACGTCTTCCCGTTTCATCCTGATAAGATCCATTCTCTTCGCTGGAACAAGCCTTTCCCTGGACTTCTGTCTTTGCCTCAGAGGAACGCAGGCCTCAGATGGAGATCTTAGTAGAGAAAGTGGCCACTGGTTCTAAGACGTTTGCTCGCTCTGATTTTATTCCTGGGTCGGGGGGAGGGAGCATAGCCAAAGGAAAGTAAATTGCTTGCCTCGAAAGCATGACGCTTGAATCCCAAACTCATGTTTAAAAAAAAGAGAAGGCATGATTACACACACTTGAAACCCCTACCCTGGGGAAACAGTCAGTCTGATTCCTGGGGCTTGGTGGCCAGGTAGCCTAGCTTATTTTGTGAGTTCTGTGTCGGCGGGAGACCCTGCCTCAAGCAGCTGTAATGGATGGCTCTTGAGAAACATCATCCAGGGTTGTCCTTAGGTCCTCACATATGTGTGCACAGGACACACAAGCTTGAGCATGCGCACGCATGCACACACGTGTTTATTCCTTAGCAATCTATTAAACACAAGCTCAGCTGCTTCTAGGTGGCCATTGTTGTGCCAGGCACTAGGCGGGATAATCTGGCAGGTACCCTTTGCTTGCATCACGCAATAGAGGGCTTGACTGGAAGGTGGCTGCCAGCAGCTGCCTGGAGCACATCGCACATAGTTAGGTAGCAGGGACGTGGGAGAGCTAGCTACCGAGATGGCTTTTTGGCAATCCAGGAAACTACCCAGCTGGGATGTTTGATGGTGAAGCATCAGGATGTCGTGACTGACGGCTAAGTGAGAAAAGGTGCCGTGTCCAGTCAGGGGACCCCTGCTCTCAGTAGTCCATGGCCCAGCCCAAGCAGTAAGGCTGGGTGACCTCAAACCGTCGGTGGCTGCATGAGCCACCCCTTTTCTAGCTGGGGCAGCAGGCTTGGCTGGTTCGTCTCACTGTGATCCTCATGCGTCGACACCAGTGGCTGTGTTCTTCCTCAGTCACAGGCTCAGATCAGGAGCCATCCTGACGCGTGTGCTGAGGCTGTGGCATGAGGGGCTGCTACTGTTTTGAGGGCTTTTCTTAATAAGAAACCCTTGGTGTTGCCAGACTGCAAGACGTTTAGCAACAATGTTTTTTTCATTTAAGCTGTTGTGGAGTTATGAGTGCAAAAAAAAAAAAAAAAGAAAAAGAAAAAAAAAGGCAACTGGTAAATATTTATTTGCTTTTGCACTTGTAAACATTAAAATTCATCTAAAGCTGAGATCTCGTATGTTAGGATACAACTTAGAATACATTTTCGTGTTTTGAATTACTTTCCCTTAAAGCTGCTATGAACTAATTTTTTTCTGAGTAGGGGCCTCCCGTGTCGTTCGGTGTGGGACAGTTTGGCGGAAAGGCGCAGTAGCCTGGGATGAGTGAAGAAAAGTTGGGAGTACCAGCGGAGCTGCCTCTGTGTGAGCTGGGCATTCCCTCTGAGAAAATGCTGTGTAAAAGCTGAATTTCTTGTACTTAAATATAATAAATGCGGAGTAGCTCCTTCCCACTGGGTACCAGGCTCTCCACTGGGCACTGGGGAGAGATCATTAATAGAGGCTTCTGTTCCCCTAGGGAAACATGCTCATAGGAAAGGTTTAGAATATCCCAGCAAACACAGGCGTGACCTTCCAGTTAGGCTGGGGGTTATAGTTTAGTTGAAATAGAAGAGCAAGGGTTAGACACAAGCAAGAGAAGTTACTTGTGCTATTAACTTTTTCTCAAGAGCGCTTAACTGTGCACAGAGACGTTGGCAGTGGCCGTGTGGCTCGGGCCGGTGTGTTTCCTCTCTAAGACAAAGGATGGAGGCTGAGTGGACTCAGCCCTGCCTCTCAGAAACATTCCTTTCACCACGCTTCTGAAAACAGTGTCTGCTGTGTGCATGCATTGAGAGTTCCGTTGCCCAAGAAGCTGTATGGGTGGACCCCAGGCTCCAGGGAACGGGAGAAGACAGTGAACCTTGGGCCTCCTAAGTCCAGCTCTCGTCCCTCACGATTAGAGAACATTTAGAGTTTTGCGGGAGTGGCTTTTGGAGTCAACTCAATTCAGTAGGTCTACATCCTCATTTGCTTGACCCTCTGGCAAGCTTCCGAGCAGTGCAGGTGATGAGAGCCCCTCAGTGGGCGCAAGAAGGAGGGATGGCCAGCAGCTGAATGCCCCGTAACATTGGAAACTTTGAGGAGGTACAGCAAGTCTACCCTGCAGTCTGAATGAACTTTAAAGAGCATCTCCCCAGCTACCTGGAGTGAAAATGACCTATAGGGGTTTGATAATGTATCTAAGCTGACAGGGTACTGGTTTATCATGCCAAAGGCTCCAGTTTCAATCCCCAGCTCTGCATACATCATAGAGCCTGGTGGCACATACTCATAACCTGGCGCTCAGAAGGTGAGACAAGATCAGAAAGTCAAGGTCATCCTTCTCTCCATAGTAAGTTCACAGTCAGCCTGGGATACATGATCCCTGCTCCCCCAGGAACACTCATCTGCCCTGTGATCTCTTAGTCAGAGTGGAAAGGGCCACTTCTTCCTAAAGTCACAGAGATAGTTCTGAATTTCGGGCAATTTGAGTTTGAAAGTGGTTGTGTGTTAAAATCATGCAGACCTCTGGGAAAGGGATGGAGTGGTGAGTAGTTCTCACAGGCCGCACTTCTCAGCCTTACACCACAAAGCAGCCATGAGAGCTGTGACTGCGCCAGGCAGGCCTGTTTATGAAACAGGTGATAGGCCTGATTTGGTCCACAGGATGTCATTTTCCAGCCTCCGGTTTGAAATACAGAAATGTGTGCGTGTTTGTTGTTCAATGAAAGATTCAAGTAGCTGCGGGGCTTGGGGTCAGCAAAGCCCATCAGGGCGTGGCCCCAACATCTTATCCCCTCCCCATCCATCCCACGGCGTGCTCCATCAGGCTCTTCCAGCTGGAGTTTTGTTTTGTTTCAAATGAAATAACCATAATTTTTATGTTAGCGATTGATCTTAGAGACTTTGGGTGTACCTTTTTATTTCATTCCACAGTCATATTTTCCTCTGGTAAAGTTTAAAGAGTCATGGAATTAATCTTCAGTGTCAGAAAAAAAAAAATCAATATGTGTAAAGTGAGCAAAGTTTGTTACACTTCAGCCTGTATCTCCAAAAGGCTTTCCTAGAGTCCTTCTGTGATGGTAAACATCATTAGACATGTCACAAGGAAGGCATTAGTGCCACCTCCTAGGAAGAGGGAAGGAATCCTTCTGTGGAAATAGTGGGAAACTCAAACACTGCGAAACTAGAAACCAGACAAGGCATTGCAGCGAGGGGGAAGGACCAGTTCTACAGGGCAAGGAGAGTCAAGGACCAGAGCAAACTCAAGAGCGGTTGCCTTTTCTCAATATGGCCATGTCTGTTCTGATCCTTGACACTGGGAACTCCTTGTGAGTCAGAAATCCCAGTTTTTTTCATGGAGTACCCCAGTTTCTATCTTAAAAATAATTTGCTTTGGGATATGCCAAACTAAATATGTTCCTGGACCAGGTGGGAACATCTAGCATTTACCTACCCCTGGAGTGGTGACTGCTCCCATTGGTCACTGTACTGGCAGTGCCTTGTTTGCGTGTGTGTGTGTGTGTGTGTGTCTTTATGGCCACACTGGTTCTTGATAAGTGCTGCCCTTATGTGCTGTCCTAATGAGCCCTCATTAGAAGCCACAGCCTGCAATGTGGAGGCAGGTTTGAGGCCAGCTGATGAAGTTCCTGGGCAGTGTGTAGGAGCAGCATGCCCTAGAAGAACTATTTCAGGGTGCATGTCACCTGGAAGCTCATCATTTTGGGCAAGGCTTGTCTATGTTAGTCTCCTTAGGTAAGGGAAATGATGCTTTCAAATCACACCCTGCTTAGAACCTACTTACTGTCTCTTCAGGTCTGTCCCAATCTGGGTGCTGAAGGAGCTGGTCTGGGTCAGCAGCAGGTGACAAACTGCAGAACACATGTCATCTGTGGCCTGGTGACATGTGGCCCTTGAGCAGGGAATACACAAAGGGACACAGGTGACTCCTGCGCTGAGCTGAGCCATAGTGGGGAACGCTGGGGTCCAGACACCCCACTCCTCTGAGGAAGTGTCAGCAACCTCAAGCTCTAAGGGACCCAACTTTTTAAAAGTTAGTTACTGAAAAATAACAACATCCTGGGTTCACATTTGTTCCTTGTGAGCTCTGCCTTTGCCGAGGCCGCTGTCCTGTGCCACTCACCCGAAGCCACTCCCTCGAGGATTGTGCTGTCACAGTTACCATCAAACCCTCGAGGAAACCACACTTGGGGGTGTTGAGCATATCCTAGTCACAGCATGTGATGGGACAGGGACCAGCAGGCTGTGTTAGCCTGAGGAGCAAGGCGCAGTTGGCATGATGCTTCTAGGCCTCCCGTGGGCTGTTACACTAGTTACCGGAGTGAGCAGCGTGAGGTGATTGCAGATGAAATAGGACGTGAGCATTGTGAAGTGTGCTCTTCACCAGCTGCCAGTTTCCCACTTGGAGCAGAAGCTCTCAATCAGGTGTCCCGTCCCTCTCCTCAGGGCTGTGGAGAGCGTTGTGGTTGTCATGACAGGGAATAGGATGCTCCTATCTATGAGGGAAGGGCCGAGGTTGCTGCTGGGGAGTGATGACACCCAACTCCCAAGTGTCAGCAGTGCCAAAGCTGACAGACCTGCCTGTGGCATTCCGTGGAGTTTCCCCTCAAGGGAGATTACCTGGGCAGAGGAAAGGAAAGCCATTGATTTAAAAGCAAAAGCCAGTGAAATGGCTCAGCCACTAAAGGTGCCTGCCATCAAGGCTGACGACTCAAGCTCCACCCCCCGGGACACATGGTGG